ACGCGTGTCAGCACTGACACGCGTGTCATAGGTTCGCCATCACTGGTCTAGATAGTGGGAATGACATAGTAAGAATAGTATAGAAAACATGTCCAGGCAGATCTAATTAACTCCACCTAGCTTTGGGGAGGAACCATGGGAAACCCTATGTTTCCAGCCCCTCCTCCCTACCCCCAACCTGCTCTTCAAGAGTAAAGTAAAATTTAGGGAGAGAAACGCCACGCCCCCCCACCCCATTCTTCCTATTACTCATCCCTTTGCAGAATAGCACTTAGACTTATATACCGATTCACAGTGCTTTGCAGCCTCTCCAAGCAGTTTACAGTCTCAGCATCTTTGCCCCCAACAATCTGGGTCCTCGTTTTACCGACCTCGGAAGAATAGAAGGCTGAGTCACTCTTGAGCCAGTCAGGATCGAACTGCTGGAAGTCAGCGGAATCAGCCTGCAATAATGCATTCTAACCACCATGCCACTAAGCTGTGTGAACCAGGTTCCAGAGGGCAATGTTTTCAATATTAAGCAAAAATCAAGAACATGAGATACAACCTCAAACTGATAGTTATATCGAAGTCAAATTTTGATGGATGAGTTATTGAGGAAACACATGGAACTTGGATATTTAGCATGCCTCCCTAAGATCACACATTATGTGTGAGCACACTGATTCTCAATAGTAGTTTGGTTTTTTTTTTATTCAGTCATTTTCTTTACTGGCTTTTTCATCTTGAGAGGAAAGGAACCAAAACAGCCTCCCCCCAAAAGAGGGATTATGATGTTGTGAAGCAGGAGGTAGAAAGAATAGAATAGAAACACATCCTGCAGAAAAGATTTCTCACTGCTTTTAGAGCAAAGTAAGGCTGTAGGACTTTTTTTTGGCTGAGTGAGTCTCATTGACACACTGATCAGCTCCCACTGATGTCCCATTGGGCGTAAATCAAAGATCAGTTGTGGGGGGGGGGGGCAGGGGGGACACAATTCTTAAGAATATCTGGAACAAACTTCAGCCAGTTTTGTTCAGGACTGCCTTTTAACAGGTTGATGGTTAGGGAAAAATATAAATCCACATAGAAGAGGTATTTCTATTAGTTTTAACAGCATCGGAGTGCCTGGTGGAACAAGGACCATGGTGCTTGACGAGAAGTACAAGTGGTCCTCAAATTACGACCGTTGGTTTAACAACCATTTGAATTTACAACAGCACTAAGTGACTTATGGCTGGTCCTCAGACTTACAACCATCACAGCATTCCGACAGTCATGTGATCAAAATTTGGCAACAGGCATGTATTTACGATGGTTACAGTGTCCCGGGATCATGTGATCGATATTTGTGACCATCTCAGTTGACCAGTGAAAGTCAACAAGGAAGCTGGATTCATTTAACCACTGTGCAATTATTCACTTAGCTGCAGTGATTCACTTAACAACTGTGGCAAAAAAAAGTTTATAAAATCAGGCATGATTCGCTTAGCAACCGCCTTGCTTAGCAATGAAAATTCTGGTCCTTATTTGTGGTAAGAATTACAGGAGTCATGGTAGCGCAGTGGTTAGAATACAGTATTGCAAGCTAATTATGCTGAACCGCCAGAGGATCGATCCTGACTGGTCAAGGTTGACTCGTCCTTCCATCCTTCCAAGGTTGGTAAAATGAGAGCTCAGATTTTTGGGGGCAATAAAGGGATGTTGTAAACTGCGTGGAGAGGGCTGTAAAGCATTATGAAGCAGTATATAAGTCTTAAGTGCTATTGCTATAGTGATATTATTTGTATATTCCCCTTTAATGTGGCTAATCCACTGAACTGCAATCCTGTGCTGATGCTACAAGGATGGAGATGCCTGCTTGACATGACTGCAGTTTCCTAGATCAGGGTTACCATCCATAAGGGCACACAGAAGCCTTGGTAACATGCCATAATGCAGGACATGGAAATTGTGGCCCCTTTGTGATCTGGGGACTTTAACTAACCATGGTGGCTCTAGAAT